GAAGGTCACGGATCGTGTGGCGAAGGATGAGTGTCTTATCCTTGCCAGTGACAGCCTCTGGGATGTGGTATTAAACGAAACCGCCTGCGACGTCATCTGCATGTGCTTGCTCGCGCAGAAGGCAGCGACTTCACAGTTGGCGTCGTCCTGCTGTGAAACAGTGGCGAGGTCAGATAAGGCGTGCTCTGACGCATCCATTTCGTTGACAAAATTGGCCTTGGCGAGGCATAGCAGCGACAATATCAACGTCGTCATCGTGGATTTGAGAAGACCGAGGAGGTTATGGAGCTCCTGCACTCCAGTCCAATGGTTCAAATTCATACCAAACTGAAATTGCACAATCCCTAATTCAAAAAATGGGAATACAAGGATTTGGACTACCGGGAGGCAAAGAGACCCAGGAGCAAAACCTATAGAGAGAGAGAGAGAGAGATCCAAAGACAAATGGGTGATTTTATTTTTGTGCTTTTCGAATGGGAATTGTTATTGGCACTCCAAAAATCTCATTCTACACTCCAAACTTTCTATGTTTGGAAAGAAAGATACACTTATAAGGAGTGTAGAATGAGATTTTTGGAGTATCAATAACATTTCCCTTTCGAATTGCTTATTAATATAAATGTTGAATTGCAAAGATTTATTTGGGAAAGTTTTGGATACGAAGTGGGGGTGGAAATCGGTTCGGGCCGATGGCCCATTTCTTCCAAGATTTGGACCTGCCCCGCCATGCTATTAACTTGGATCTGGCCCGCCCCGCCCTATGTTGAATTTTAAAATTTTGGACCCACCCTGTACTAGCCCCAAATCGCTTAGACCTGCCGCGATCCACGGGTCCAGGATCCATTTGCCCACCCGTAATTGCAACTGTATGCTCTCATGCATTCTGCATATGAGCTCTTAAATAGAGGGTACCCAAATTAATTAGGCATTTAATTAAGTGATAAAATTTGAGCATAACCTAACCAGTGAAGCAATTTTAATATGGATATGTGAAAGACACAAAGAAAAAGAGGGAGACGAAGGAAGGGCTTTGAATCAAATCACTCCAGAAAAGTACGTTGGAAGATGAGAATATTTTGGATTGATTTTATGGTGTATGTGACGAGAATCATATATATGACAATTCAAATCCAAAATCTAAGCAAGTTGATGATTCTGCTTCTGGATCCCAATATGGCAGCAATGATACTGGAGAACGATGATGCTTAATTAGGTTTTGGTTTTAGGTGTAATTAAGTTTTGGTTTGAGGGTAGTTAGGTCTATTTAAGTGAACTTTTGGCTATATTGGAATTTGTTTTATAAAAACTGATATTTATGAATTTGTGGGCTAAATTTTGGCTATTACTAATAAATACTCCTCCAAAACCCTTAAGCAAATTCCAAGGCAAATCCAACCCTTGCTTAGATGAAGGACTGGTCATATGGACCGCCCTACCTAATAACTCTGGGGTCCAAATTAATGGAAGAGAAGTGAAGAGAGATGATCACGTGCCCATTTTCATTCATGTTCACGTACCGTTCTCAGTAAAAGTCAGTCAGCTACTGGTATTTGTGTGATCGAGTATCTAACATTTACAAGATCGCATAGGAGATCACGCCATGTTGATATCATTGTATGAATTGTAGCTCTCCAAAGACTCACTCTTGATTTGCCTGCCTAAGAGAAACGGAACCGATCTGGGTTGGGCCAAATAAAGAACAAAAGTATCACCCAGATAGAACCACAACCCTCTAGGCCTTACTGTGCAAAGCCTTGGCCCATCTATTGAGTCCATCAAAACCGTCCTTTCTCACTAGGCATGCCTGCCATCAGTGCCATGGAGGATGGTCGAATATAAGATCTCAAATAGACGGGTGAATATTTTTAATTAGCTGAGATACAAAACTCTTGCACTATATACATCTGGATTCTTGTATCACAAATCAAAACTAATGCAGTTCAAAAAACATGTAATTAAACTCTAAATGAATATGTGTGATAAAAAAGAAGCTATATACTAACGTTAGGCAACCATGCACTCAACCGTGCAATTATATGTACAAGATCAAAGAGAAAGGAAAGAAGCAGAAGCTAACCCTAAACATCTTATTTGTTGTCTTCTTCGTTTTGGTTGTTATCACATTAAGAGCTTTTTGCGTCTATGGGTGGATTTCGTATTACATTTAATCACTTAATTATGTTGATCACTTGGTTTCTGTTTTTAATTTTTTATTTTATGAGGACTTGATCACTTCACTCCATCACTTGGAATTGGTTTCAAACTTCATAACTGTCTTTTCATATTTTGGTAATTATCTCAACTCACTTTGTCCTTTACAAGTCACATGACAAGGGCTAAAATCATCACTAAGATATACCAGAGGAAGGAGAATAATTATAACAAGTAATACTAAATAAGGATCATTAGGAGTGGCTAGGGAGTAGCTTAACCCTAACAAGCAAATTATTGTATGCCGTAAATAAATAAAAACCAAAACCACAATGGAAAGGGAAAATATGGAATTTTTAGTACATTTTAGAAGGGTCCCCGCACGTCGTACTAGCAAAAGCATATGAATTGTGAAACTAGATAGAAAGAAAGGGAGACAAATAGGATTAGGAAGAGGCTGCAAAGGTGGTTGTTTTGGTGAAAGTGAAGAGGTGCCATAAAGGAGGAGGAATAAGCAGTCGGCGCACATCAACATCTTAATCTCCCCATTCTTCTTCTCCATTGTTTTCAGCAAGGTATAGACTCTGCTAATCACATGCATGCATGACAGTGAGTACTAATTTATTTACATGAACTTGTGCGTGTGAGAGTGTGAGAGTGTGAGAGGTTTACACACCAAGAACTAGTTCATGAGTATTGAAATATTAAATCCAAATTAATGTGTGCACAAATTAAAGATAAGATTGGACAGTATTGGACAATTGATAGCAATATAGCCAATAACTAGAGAGAGACAATGACGAGCGGTGGCGAAGGTGGTGGACATGATTTTTTGTTATAGGAGATTTGCTGGCGAAGGCGTTCTCTTTCCGCCATCTCGAACTCATATGTCCACTTACACAAACCCATCACCTCAAAACACAAAAACTAAACGAGAAAGATTCAAACATCTAGAAATTAATTGGGATGGTGGCTAGTCGCGCCTACATGGGGCTTAGGCGGCCCTAGGCGGAGATTTCTAGAGCAGTGATTTTTAAGTTACGATTCATAGATTAATTTTTGTAAAAAATAAATTCAAACTGAAACTACTTATCTACTTCACACAAAAAGAAACGAAATAGGTAAGATCAAACATCATCAAATTTTAGAATATCAACTGAAATCCATCTATACCCTGGAATCCATAAGTAAATTAGAAAAATATAAAGCTTAATTGATAGGATGATAAAAAGATTATGATACAATTCCACAAGGTTGTTTAAAAACCCTAAATCTAAGGAAACTCAGATTACAAAATATTCTTAAACTTGAAAAACAAGAAAGCAATATAAAACTAAAAACCAAATATATCATGAAATACTATCCTAATATAATACTTATAGTGAGATAAATACCAACCCAGAAACTAATCTAAATCCTTCCACAAATATTCTTTGCTATTTTCTTTTATTGGGAACAAACAACATTATCTACCCTAGGGGTTGAGGGAGTAAGTTAAGCCTAACAATATGCTAACAATAACTCACTTTAAATTTGCCTTTAACGAAAAGCGAACCTAAGACCTATCACTTACAAATAAAAAGAAATATCACTAGACTGTAGTAATAAGTGGTTCTTTGCTATTAAATTGCTCAAACAACCTGAAAGTCCCAACCATACACCATTCTTCCCTCTTTTTTTTTTTTCCATACTTTCTTTTCCCAAAGTTGAGTCGCTTTATTTTCTTTAAATTTAGGACCTTAATTTTTTTTTTTTTTTCGCACGAATTGATCCATATCTTATTATACATCACGATTAGTATGATTGAGTTTTTCTTCTCTCCTACATTACATGTACACCAACTTGAGTGCTGCTCGAGAGTGCGGAGTAGGAGGGGAAGATTCATCCCTAATATAAACGCTAAAGATTAAAATACATCGCCTATAAAATAAAATAAAATAAAATACATGGTTGGAACCATGTGATAATTTCGTTTTATATTTGATTAAATAAAAATTGTTGTATTTTTCTTGCTTGCACGTATTCAAGCCAAAGTTTGAACCTACCATACATTGATTAGAAATTCGAAATCCAGGAAGATACAAACATAATTTGGATCGTATCTGCATAAACGCACTCACATATTTTATGTTATATTTGCTAATCGGAATTGAAGTGGCAAATGCAAGCACTAATACAGCAGTCACGTTGCTGTCAATTGACGCTCTCTATTCTCTAACCTTGCATTTGTCCAAGAGACTATTTCCCTGAGTAATCATCATTATTATAATGGCACATTTAAATTTGATGATGATGAATAATTCTTGGATGGTAATTTTTAAACAAAACAAGGAGAAAGTAGCCGTCTCCTCTGAGTCTTAGTAAGCACTGATATCATTTTAGAGACATGGTCAAAGGTAAAATGCCATCAGATGCGCACAGCAGGACGTGGTTTAATTTGTTCGTCTCTGATACAAAAGGCACCAGCTAATAACTGCTACTAAACATGGAGACAAATGGTGTGGTAGAGATTTTTCTATTTTACAATTCAATTGGTTTCCTCCCTACTTACAACCAACCCTCTATCTCTCTGTTGATTCTTCCACTTAGTGATCCCAAGTGAAGAAAACTGTGTAGGAATTCGGTTGGGCAACAACGCGTTTCAACATGGAATCTTGGAGACCAAGAAGCCCGGAGACGAGTTCAAGCAATGAAGATCATGATTCAGGTGCTACAACAGTGAAACGAAGCTACGAATGCACATTTTGCTACTAGAAAAACTTTCAATTCCCATGAGGCTGCCCTTTCCCACATGGTAATCCTAAAAGAATTGTGCATTTAAATATCCGTTTGGTGATTTTAATTTTAAATGAGAGAAAAGGAATTAAGATGTCATTAACAAATTCAGCAGTCCAGCTGATAACTGTTGAGGACATAAGGTGTCAGACTCCACTACTGATTCACATTAATAGGACAGTCTGGGATATCATAATCATCTAAACACTCTGAAATGTCACATTTACATTCTAAACAAGATAATACATAGAACAGAATCAAACCTGTTTTTTCTTGGACTTCTTTTCCTTTCCAGTAGCTCCTCGCCTTGCCTTCTGCTCACTTTCAGCCTGCCATGCTGCTTCTTCCTCACGGATGAGTTCCTCTTGCCTCTTCAATGCAACAGATTCATGATAGGCAACTTCAATTTTATTGCTGCATGTACATAGGACAAAGAATGATACCATCAATAAGAATAGGCAAGTAAATATGTTCACCATGTCAATGTTGAAAAGAGTGATTACCCATTGGTTTTCTTGGTCCAAAATTATCTACAAACATCCACTAAGATAATATTCATAATCCAAAATGCAAATATTTGAATTCCACTAATGAAAAGTAGCTAACTTCATTAGGCCGCCAAATGCGCCCTCTTTATCCAACAATAAGATAAAATAAGCCCAAAACAAAAAGCACTGATTTTTCCAGTAGGCAAACATTCTAACTATAAATCCATTCCACATCACAAGGGAGTTGACATTAACTAGATAATACTCAACAATTTGTAAACAAATTTACCACAATGAAAAACCACATCTTACTCCTTATGCGTACTCATAGTACAGGACATGGCATGCCAGGAACCGCAATCCTTAATGCATACCAATAATTCGTCATAACTCTACCTATTTCAATTTGTGTAGTATACCAGGAACCGCAATCCTAAAAGAAACATGGCATGCCACGTCCTATGAAAGAAAATATATAAATGAAAATTTGATGGTAGCACAATAATAACAACCAAAATTTTCACTAACAGATAAATCATAAATCGTAAGTCTCCTACCATTTAGTATGAAACATATCCACAATTTATGAAGTAGGATTCATAACTGATTTAATGTAAAGAAGGCCAAGGGACAATCTTCAAATATTGCATAAACAAGAAAAGAATATACTAGGGCTGATAGAAGACCTGAAAATATAAGCAAGGACAAATATTTCTACAGTCCTACGACCCAATTCCGTAAGACGTCTTTCATCCCGCTCAATAGAATCTTTGTTGAAGTCCTCTCCAGAATTTCCATCCTGCAGGAATAGCAAGGTGATTTTTCAGAAATCAAGCAGTTAAAAGAGTGGAAAATAGAACATATTACACATCCGCACCAACAACTATAATATGTTCCTTATTTACTACAAACCTACTACATTCCTAATCATATTAATTTTGCACTCCCTTGAAGGCTTGAAGTGAGAAATGTGCTATTCAGAATCCTTCTAATCACTAAAACACCATCATCTATAGATCTTTGCCCTTCAAACAAGTTTTGACTAGAACAACAAAATGCTTGAAACTTCTTACAAATCATATTTTTGGTGAGTTTACAAAACATATTTTCTAGTGAGTTAACCAGTCAGTGAACAGTGAACAGTGAACAGTGCACATTGCTACTAACAATCAAGATATACTAAACTACTAAAATTTCTAGGGGGAATAACAGCTTTCGATGTATCCACATTTACGATAGCATTGAGGAGAAGCATAATTCACGCCAAGCATTGTGAAGTATAAAGAGTATAGAGTTTCCTTTATATGGTCACAAGGTAGAAATAACTGTTAACCAAAATCCTTGGTTGAAATGAACTTCTTGTGCTTAGACAAGTATTTTCCTAACCGGATACTGATTCCCAATATCCTGAGCAGAAACCATAGCTGACAATATGAAATATCAACGTCAAAGAAGAATGGAATCCTCTATACCACACAACCAACAATCGGGACTTAAATGCGACAGACCAACCAAGCCAAACATCACCGTTTAGAATAGGATGTTAGCTACTCACTTTTGTACGATTTTGAGGACCCTTCTCATCTTTTGGAGGTAATGGTTCCAAGGCAGCCCTCTCAAGTAGCATCAGAACATCATCCACCAATACAAACATATCTTTCTCTACATGAACAATTGGTGCTGGCATTTCTTCAGCATCCAATAGTTTCACCTTACTTTTCTTGGACTTGGTTTGACCTTCAAGAGCCTTTAAACCACTATACAATGAGTCCATTACCAACGTAGATGTGACTTCTTTCTCAATAAAAAAGTCCTTAACGACTACTTTCAGGACTGCATCCATCTTCTCCCTGGACATACGGTGCCTGGCATTTTGTTCAATTCCCACCCAGAAGGAGCAGAAGCTGCAATGACATTAAAGGAAATGTTATCAAGAAATGAAGAGCATGTAACCACTACTAGAAGCGAGTAAATGACATATGTACAAACATGCAGACATACATGCGTAGAAGAACCCACATGAACCCAAGGTAACCATATTACTAAAAAATCCAGCAGATACAGCAAAAAATTCCATCAAATTCATGCCAAGTCACATTTACAAGAACCATAAAGCACTGTAAAGGTAAGCTCAAACCATTATGTCTTCCAAAATAGGGCATTGTATATTAAGCTCTAGTTGTGAGCATTCCAAACTATAACTTGACAGAAGTTCCAAAAGCAAAGACATACCTTGACCATTTAGCTTTATCCTCTATCAATTTTCCGAGTTTGCTTCTTCTCTCTTCGACAAAACGACGACAAATTTGCTCTACATTTGTCAAGTATACCCTAACAAGCTCTCTCCTATATTGACAATCAAGGCAGCGAAAGGGCCGGTCTGCTTTCTCCCTACAAAACCAGAAGCAAAGAATAGAATGCTTACAAACACAATAACGTGCATGAATATTAGAATACAGAAGTGCATGTCAAAACGATATTCAGCCACCAAAGATCAAAGTGTGAGTTTAAAAGGGGAGACTTATGGTAAACTGGATTTGAAAACACAAAAGGACAGCAGAAGAGGATGCACTTCAATTTAGATTCCTTATCCAATTTAGATTAGAAATCCTAAAAGTCTATTTGGAATTGGAAAGGAAGTCTAATTCCTATTCCACTTAAAATAGGAGTTACAATCTGTAAAGAACATGTAAACTGCACCCTATGCCTATAAATAGGATGCGGCAAGGCTTAAAACAGTGTAAGAAAATCTGTAACAGCCGAGAGAAGAGAGAGAGATAAGTTCTAGGGTTTGCAAAAGTACTATATACTCTATTTTAATGGAAGAAGCCGTGATTTCTCTACCTAGGGAAATCACAACAGGACGTACGCAAAAGTTCTGCCAAACCAGTATAAGTCTTGTGTGTTTTCTAGTTTTCTCTATTTTGCTAAGTTTTAGCCCATTGCCGAATACATCAAAGAGCAAGATCCAGAGAGTGAAAATTTTAACAATTGGTATTACAGCTTGGTTCAAGGTGTTCTACGATGTCAAAAGGAAAGGCTGCGGAACTAGGGCCTACGTTAAAACATTTTGATAGCAAGGATGACTTCACAGACTAGCAAATGATGATGAAGAATGTACAGATACAACAGGATTTGGATGATGCACTTGGTGAGAAGCTTGCTACCATGACAGTAGAAGCATGGACTAAGGTTCTCAAGAAGGCCACAAGCTCCATTGAGATCCATCTCACAAGATTAGTCAGGTCCCACATCACAGAAAAGATGACTGCTCAGGAAGCATGCGAAAAGTTGGAGAATGTTTATATGGGCAAAACCATGTCCAATAAACTTTTTCTCAATGATGAACTATTCGGGCTTCGACTAGAAGGAGGAGGTGATATTGAAGATCACGTATGCCGGTTTCAAAATTGCATAGCCAATCTTCAGAAGGTCGAAGAAACTTACCAAGATGATGATATGGCTATCATCTTGCTGAGGTCTCCACCTTCATCTTTCGAGCACTTTCAAACAACTCTCATGTTTGGAAAGGAGTCCCTAAAAGGCTTGAATACATTATTCAAGCCCTTCAGTGATATGCTAAACTAGATGACATAATTGATAGCTCTTAAAGCTTTTATGTCAAAGGGAAGGAGAGTAGGTGGGAAAAGACAAAGGAAGAGACAGCCGGTAACATGGGTAAGTCAAAATCCAAGAAGAAAAAGGAAAAGAAGTAAGGTTGCTTCAAATGTGGTTTTACCGACCATTGGAAGAGCAATTGCAAGATTTGGAAAGAGAAGAAAGCCAAGATGGAAGGAAGCTCAGGTTCAGCTCGTACAGTCACTAAGCAACAGCGTGACGGGGAGCTTCTTTCAGTAACATTAGGCTCCAAGGCTTTCACAAGTTGGATTTTGGTTACCAGAGGCACATTCCCTATGTGTGCAGTAAGAGAATGGTTCGATACTTACATGGAGATCAGTAGCAGAGAAGTTCTAATAGGGGACAATTCACCATGTCTAATAAAGGGGATCAGCACTATTAGAATCAAAATGTTTGATGGAGTGATATGAGCTTTGAGGAATGTCAGATATATCCCTAGACTGAAGAAGAATTTGATTTCCTTGGGTACTTTAGATAGGGCCCGTTATGGGTACCATTCTAAAGCAGGAAGACTCAAGGTAACTAAAGGATCGCAGGTGGTAATGCAAGGTGACCTACAGCACAATGAAGTACAACTAATTGGGACTACAATAGAAGGGGGAGCAGCTGTTTCCACAAAGTAAAGTGCAGAAGAAAAGACTAAACTCTGGCATCATAGGCTAGGGCACATAAGTCAAAAGAGGTTGCAAGAATTGCACAAGAAAGGCTTGTTGGAAGGCGTGTCATGTTGCAAGCTAGACTTTTGTGAATATTGTGTTCTCGGAAAGCAAGTGAAGGTATCATTCGCAAGTAGCAGTGTAGATAACCAAAGCAAGGAGCAACTCAGCTATATTCACTGAAATGTTGGGGCCTACACCAACAAAATCCAATGGTGGAGCCAGGTATTTTGTTACTTTCATGGATGATTTTTTCAAAAAAGTTTGGGTTTATTTCATGAAACAGAAATCTGATGTTTTTGCGAAGTTCAAGGAATGAAGGACAGAAAATGAGAATGAAACTGGAAGAAGATCAAGCACCTACGAAGTGACAATGGAAGCAAGTATACAAGTAAGGAGTTTGCCAATTACTGTAAGTAGGAAGGCATGACAAGGCACTTCACAGTAAAGCCCCAACAAAAAAGAGTTGTTGAAAGAATGAACAGAACTCTCATGGAGAGAAAGAAGCATGCGATTTCATGCAGGATTACCTGATAGTTTTTGGGCAGAGGCTGTTAATCATGCAAGTTATTTGATTAACGTATCACCATCTACAGTTCTCGGTTTTAAGAGTGCAGAAGAGGTATGGTCTGAGAAGTCGGTGAACTATTCCAAGCTCAGGGTGTTCGGATGTAGTGCTTACGCACACATTCCAAGTGATGAAAGGTCCAAGCTCAAACCTAAGTCTACACATTGCATAATTTTAGCTTTTCAGAAAGAAGTGAAGGGTTTCAAGCTTTGGAATATCAACAACAAGAAGGTTGTCAGTCAAGATGTTGTCTTTGATGAGACAACCATGTCTCTGAACAAAGCTGAGAGCAGTGGGAATAAAGACAATGTTGAAATACACACAACAAAGATTCCGTTAATTAGTTCAGAGGAAGAAGCTCAGGTGGAGAGGAAGAAGAAGAGCATCAACATTGTTCACCAATTAGGATGTGGAGCAAGAAACAGAGCAGATTGAAGGCATTCCAATCCGCCATACATCCCAAGGGGTTCGAACTCTAACCCACAATCCACCTGAATTCCAGAGATGCATTCGATAGAGGAAACCTGACAAGTTTGGGTTTGACCAAGACGAAGGCTCTTAACATTAGTCCAGGAGATTCAACTACTTATCGAGAAGCTATAGCAAGGAATAAGCGAGATAGTTGGATAAGTGCTATGACAGAAGAAATGGAGTCTCTTTACAAGAACTTTGTTTGGGAGTTGGTTACTAAGCTCAAAGACAAAAGCTAGATGGATGCAAGTGGGTATTTAGGAAAAAGGAAGGACTACACGAACAAGATGTCGTGAAATTCAAAGCAAGGCTCGTGGCTAAGGTGTACTCACAAAAGGAGAGATTGGATTATGATGAGATCTTTTCACCAGTAGTCAAGCATACTTCTATCATATTACTTTTAGCAATGGCAGCTCAGCATGACATGGAGATTAGGCAGATGGATGTGAAGATTGCGCTTCTTCATGGGGATCTAAAGGAGACGATTTTCATGGCTCAACTAGAAGGGTTTGTCGAGTATGGGAAAGAGAACCTAGTATGTTGTCTAGGGAAGTCCTTGTATGGCCTAAAACGATCTCCAAGGCTGTGGTACAAGAGGTTTGATTCCTTCATGCTGGAAATTCATTTTAGGAGATGTTTATATGACTGTTGTGTCTACTATCATGTGTTCCAAGATGGGATGATCATATTGCTATTGCTATGTGGATGACATGCTAATTGCTTGTCAAGACAAGTCTAGAATTCAAGACTTGAAGATGATGTTGAGCAAGGAGTTTGACATGAAGGATCTAGGTGCTGCACAGAAGATCCTTGGCAGGAAATTCAGAAATATAGGACCGCTGGAAGGATCTGGATATCACAAGCCAAGTATATTCAGCTATGATGCACAGATACGGCACATCCGTCATGTATCGCATGTCGAATACGCAAATGGACACGATACGCCTCTGATACGGTTGAATATGTATCTGGATCAACGGATACGACGTTTGACAGATGGATACGGGTATCCGACAGTTTAGATACAGGTATCTGACTGCCTGGATATGGATATCAGCACCATGGCCTTTGACGCAATTTCGTGGAAGAAAACCTCATGACGGAGATGACAAAATCTGGTGGAAGGAGGCCTCGCGAAGAAGATGACGCGATTTGGTGGAGGAAGGCGTTACACGGAGACAACCCGATCTAGTGGAGGAGGCTTCGCAAAGAAGATGACTATTATAGGTCAAGATGTTTGTTTGTTTTAGTCGAGAAAAACAACACCACAGTTTTTTTTTTTTTTTTTTTAATTTTTTTTTTTAATTTAAATGACTAAAGCCCTAAACTACACAGCCCACCGAATTTACACCACTACCATCCTTTCTTATTGAGAGTTTGAATAGTATAAATTAAATTTGGGTAATTAACTTTTTTATTGTTATTATATTCTTTTAATTTATATTTATTATATAAATTGCCGTATCCATGTCGTATCATGTCTTAATTTTTAAAAATTTGACGTATCCCCATATCGTATTGTGTCGTATCCTCATGTCCATGTCCATACATCGTAGATATTCAGAAGGTTCTTGAGAAGTTTAACATGCAAGAAGCAAAAGGCAATTTCTACTCCTTTGGCGGCTCACTTCAGGTTAAGTGGGCAACAATGTCCTAAGTTCAAAAAGGAGAAACAAGTGATGATGCAATGGTATGCACACAACCTGATAGCTCAAGCAATCAATATTGTTTCCAAGCACATGGCAAATCCAGGAAAGCAACATTGGAATGCAGTCAAGTGGATTTTGCGTTATTTGAAGGGTTCTTGGAGACAAAGGATTATGTTTGAGAAGCAAAAAGAAAATGCAGTGGTGTTGGGATATGTGGATGCCGATTATGCAAGGACATGGACAAGAGAAGGTCAACTTATGGTTATGTCTTTACATGCTCAGGAGGACCAATCAATTTGTGTCCTTTTCTGTTTAGGATTGTTTTAGGGAAAAGGTGCACCAATTCTTCTCCTAAAAGGGCTAGGAAAGAATCTTAGTTTCCTTATTCAATGTAGATTAGAAATCCTAGAAGTCTATTTCGAATTGGAAAGGAAATCTAAATTCCTATTCCACTTAGAATAGGAATTATAATCTGTAAAGGACATGTAAGCCAACCCTATATCTATAAATAGGGTGCGGCAAGGCTGATTTTCAGCAGAGAGAAAACAGCCAAACAGTAGAGAGGTTTGAGATTAGTTCTAGGGTTTGCATAAGTTCTGAAATCTCTATTATTAATCAAAGAAGCGGTGATTTCTCTACCTAGGGAAATCACAACTGGACGTAGGCATAAGTTCTGCCGAACCAATATAATTCTTGTGTGTTTCTAAGTTTTCTATATTTGCTAGTTACTTTAGTCTAAAGAAGCTGGCAAAATTGCACTGTAGAAATGAACAGTGTTTTGGGCCGAATTTCACTTTATTTACAAGGTTGCCACTGACTCTCTCTGCCGTTGATCATGATACCTGCGTGTTGATGATCGTGGAAAGGCAGGGTGCGATCGTCACTTTACCATTCTCTTCCTCCCCTTTCTCTCTCCCTCAGATCCCATCTGCTCACCTAAAATCCCCAGATCAAACATCCTCCATCTCAAATAAAAAAACTTTCCCCCTTCAAAACCCATAGAATCAGCACTCATGGAATAATCATGGATTTTTGTTGAGGTAATTTGATTGTTTCCTCATCTGTAATTGGTTTCTGTTAGTTTATTGTTCTTGAATTTTAATTTTTCTATTTTCCAACTTGGAACAATCGACCTTCTGGTGATAAAATCGTGATTTGACCATCGTATTCTCTCTCACGGCTCACAACGATGAAATCGCACAGGACTTCGTTGATTTCTGTCAACTCTGACCACGACCAGTGTCATGTAAGCTATCAATTACCCCCTCTCGATCTTCTTTTTCTTCTTCCGCTTCTCCCTGCGCATTCCAGTTTGACTGTATGTGTTCTGGATGCTGATTTCCTTAGTATGATTAGACGATTCGGATGCGCCTAATAAACAAACCTAATTTGCCTCGCGCGTTCAGTCATCTCCTTCCTTCATCTAAAACCTCACACAGAGACAGAGATCCCCCAAAACCCTAAACGCCCAAAGGTAATTTTGTTTAATTTTTCAATTAGTTTTAATTATCTGATGAATACCTAGCATAAATTCACTCTCTCTCTACTCTAAATGCGTTTAATTTTTTTGTTTTAATTTTTTGCAGTATTAATCACAAAGTTACGGAGCTGAAATTGCAAACGCTATCATGGCTGCCTTAAAAAATGTAAGCTTGAAATTTTTAGGTTCTGTTTGGTTGTTGGAAAACTGAATCAAAGAGGTTTCTTTGTTTGTTTGTTTGTTTTGTTTTGTTAATTATCTCGGAGACGTAGTTGATTGTTGTGTTTCTGAAAATTTGAAAACAGAAGAAGAACGTGTTTGTGAAGTCAGTTTCGACAAAGAAGCAGGCTAATATGGACCATATCACAGGGGATAAAATCCCAAGGAGGTTTGTGTTTTCCAGATGCAAGTTGCCTGGTCCTCTGAAGCAGCTTCAAGCTGATTTGAGGAAACTGGTGCTTCCCTACACTGCCTTTAAGCTTAAGGTATGCAAATATTCGTTCCGGTCTTAATATATTTTGCAATGCTTTATGATATTTGATTTGTTTATATTTTAATTGATTTGAAGAGCTGATGAAAATGAGAAGTAAGAATCTGAAGTCAAGAGCTGAGCTTTTTCCGCAATGTTTTTGCAGGAGAAGAGGCGGAACAATCTTAGAGACTTTTTTAATGTGGTTGGGCCTATGGGGGTTACACATTTCCTCATGTTGTCGAAAACTCCAACTGCGCCATACCTTAGGTTTGTGAGGACACCTGAAGGCTCAACGCTATTTTCATAAGATATGCAGTGGGTTCCATTTCTAATGTCTTTGTGGGTTTTCAGGGGTGCAGATCCTGATTGACAAGGAAGAACAGAAACGGATATAACAACACTGAGACCGAATGGGAGATCCAATGAAAAAAAATAGCAATGGATAAACCAAGGCCGGTAGATTTCAACTGCCTCACAACCGCCGCTAGAGAGGTCAGATTGTCCAGAGCGCTGCCTTTTCCTCCGCCAACACCGTTGTATCAGATGTTAAGCTGCACCTCCAGGAGGACCACAGCAATGGCTTCAATCCCATCCTCCACTTTTGCTTCTGGTGAGTGTATTTTAAGCGCTTTTGCCAAAAATCTGCTTATTTACTTGGTTTTTGTGGGTTTTATTAAAATTGTATGGTTGTTGTAGCGTAAAAAAGTTTGCATCTTTGCATTGATATTTGGAGCAACAGACGGTATTTGGATTTGGGGTTGCATAGAAATTGAGTAATTGAAATTTATTAGATATCCAATGGAAAATTTCCAGTTATTAGATATCCAGTTTGATATTTGGCGGGTAAATTTCCATTCTTTGGATTAGGGTGCACAACAGTTGATAAGAGGATAAGTCAGAAATGGAGTGATGAAATGTATTAACTTTTATGACTAATTTCCAAAGAAATTGCAATCTGCCAATGTAAAATGGTCAGTTATTTAATATCCGGTTTCATTTATAGTAGAAAAGGCAATGGATAAGAGAGATGATGGTTAAATTTGTATTTGTTATGTTAACTATTTGAAGTCTAGAATCTAAAGTTAATATATTTGTTATGTTAAATGTCGTATGAAATATTTATTGTTGAAATCTTCTTGGTGCTTTGTTTTATAAAAGATTCGGGATGGGGATAATTTAGCTGTCATTGATTGGCATCGTTTTTTAAGTTTTGTCTGTGCTTTTGTTTGTAGGATCGACTTGGGAAAGAACAGAGGAGAGCACAAGCATTATCAATTTATTTGCTATAGTATTGTCCCTCTTCCTCTGGCCTCCTGAAGTGTTTCCATTCCAGTGTCACCATCTTTTGTTTCATTCATTTGTAGAATATATTCTTCTTTTTTCTATACCTTTATTACCTCCTTTTAACTTTGATTATCTGTACTTGATGAGTATTATTAGACCCATTCTCAAAATTTTGCATCCCCTGCTTCTTTCTTATGGTTCTTATACTCAAACATGTGCAAGTTTGTATTTTTCTGATGGATTGGACTATTGGGAACTTAGGTACTTTTACTTTTTATATATTTTTGTTGGGTTTTTTCTTTTTCAGAAAATGAGTATTTGATTAATCACTTGACTTTCGCTTTCAAAAGGACTGTTTGAAGTTTTGTGTCAATTTGGTTGTGATGGTAAGATTACTTTATGTAACATTGTGTTGTGGCATGTGAGTGTCGAACTTTTTTCTTAATTTAATTTCGGAAAGAAATGTGTTTTAACGGTTGTCCTATATGATGAAGTTAGCATCCTTATAAGTTGGGAACCTAAAACAGGAGTGGTGTACTCATAAATTCCTACTTTTCTCTGCCTCCTTCCCTCTACTTGCATCAGTTGTGACTTATTTTCTTTTTTGGTTTTATCTCAGGAGTTTGTCAGGGAGAAAGTTTGTGAACGAAAGAAATCTAATCGAGAGGTATTTTCTTTTTGGCACATATCATGAATTATGTTTGGGTGTTTAAACAATATTTGCCTAAAAGTATACTCTGTTTTTTAGTGGTATTTCAAATAAGGTAACTTCCCCAAACATTGATATTTTGGTTTTCTATTGGTATGTGTGAGACCAGCTTGATTCAGGTTACAAGGTTGAGGGTAGCGGATAGTCGTCATATTGCGAATAGTTAATCATGTTCAATAACCTTGGTTACAGGGCCATTCACTTAAATTTTGGTTTCAAGTTGTAGAAAGACGGCTTTTCATTCTTTCTCAAAATAAGCTTTCACAGCTTCAGTTTCACATCATTCGTCACTGGATTTGCTAATACAAGTTTTTATTGAGATAATCTTACTGGTGAATTGTTAAAAGGTAGGAAGAGAGAAGGCGGCTTGCGATTTTATTAACTAAAGTTCAGATTCATTTTCTATGGTATGGGGTGTCCGAGAGAAAGGGTTTCAGGGATTAGGTTTGGGTGGGATTTCAAGGATTAGGTTTGGGGTTTTGTATGTGCGATTTGTAGAGAGATGGGGGTGTCCGAGATAGGATTTAGGAGATTTGTTTTAGGAATTGCAGAGAGAGATAGGGAGTGTCCAAGAGAAGTGTGGGAGGATTTAGGCGGGATTTTAGGGATATGGTTTAGGGTTTGTTTTCTTCGATTTGTAGAGACAGAGAGCTGGGACAAGGGTGAGAGAGAGAGATGGGAGGATTTTATGCAAGGGTTAAAGGGAACGGGTAAGGGAGGTATGGGTATGGGTTTTTAGGGCCGGTTTCTAGGGAGGTGGTCTGCTGTCAGTGCCCTCACAGGGTGGGGTGTGATATGGGGGAGAGAGGAGAAGGGGTTGGTTTCCGAGAGAAGGTGACGGTGGGTGTACGATTAGGGGGACATAGAGAGTTGATTGGGTACAAGATTTGAGGGTAGGGTTGAGTGAATGAGTGTGTTGGCTGCAAAGAGATGGTGGGGTTGAGTTAGTATCTCCCTCTCTATCGCTTCTCTCTTCCTCCATATATGACATCTTTGTTTTGGGGTCAAAATATGTTCGCTTTTACATAGAAATTTGAGTGTTTTATTTATTTATTTGGGTTTTTTTAAGCTGATACATATTATGTTTTGTGTTTCTGGGTTTTATCACGTTACTGATGCATAAACCCATCAGTTCCTCTGTAATTCGTTTTGGTTTTCATTATTCTTTTTCGATTTGTTTTGTCAAAATTGAAATGGAATTTGTTGGCTTGATTTTGTATTAGGTTGCCAGAGGGTTCTGTTTTTAGGGTTCTCTCCGTCCCACACACTCTCCCTCTCCCTCTCTGTTTCTCTTCTTCAATCAGTCTGACGTAGTTTTGCAATTTAGGGTTCAGTGCATTTACTGGAATATACATACATATAAATGTCTAAATTTGTTCAATTTTTCTATACACAGGCTGGGTTAATTTGATTCTTGACCAATGATTGGATATTATATTACAAATGTGGGTTCTGTTTTTAGGGTTGGATGAAAAGAAACACCCATCAGAGCTTTCAACAACTCGAAGGTCAGTGATTTCTTCCTTCTCTCTAATTCTGTTTCTGTTATTTCAATTTGTAGAATATAATTTAGGGTTTTAAGTTGGAAAATTTAATTAAACATTTTCAGTTGGAGAGCTTGGTGTGTACAACAATTAGGGTTGTTAATTTTGATTGCTGGTCTACTAAATGTTTTATAACATGTAAACAGGGAGTACATACTTTGTATGCCATGGATAGGGAATGGATACGTAATTAGATCAATTGATGGGTGCCGCTGTTTTGGATATCTACATCCAGCAATATCTGGTATTATGTGTTTTGTTGTTTTAGCTCTGTGTTTTTTTGTAGTGGATTGGAATTTCTACTAGAATCATTATTATTATTATATATTTAGGGGATGCGTAAATTGATTTTGGAGATTTTGTATGTGGTTTGGGTTCTTTGATTTTGTTTAGATAGACGGTGCTTGATTGTGGTTTAAGTTTTTTTAGTATATTCCCTGCACATTGCAAAATTCTGGTACTATTTGGGTGTTTTGGTGTTGAAAGCCTAGGGTTTAGGGTTTAGTGTTTAGCATTTAGGGGAATGCAAAGAAGGGATGTATGCGTTTCTGAACTCTTATGCAAATCTAATTTGAAATCATGAAACACATTTCATATGTTTCTCAAATCTCAGCAACAGGTTTTAGAATCCTGAAATCTAAGTAAAGGTACATCATTCCTGTTTTCGTATTTTTTTTATTTCCTATAATCATGGCCACGATTAAACGTGAATATGCATGCCAACCTTGCATACTCAGTGATTAATTTCTGGATGAATTTTTCTTTAGACGAGGGTTTGCAGATATGAATACTTGAGGGGCAGATGGTCACCATGTTGGATCCATTGATACTGATACAACATGGGATTTAGTTGGTTATATTCAAATCAGAAATAAAATTGCTTTGTATATTCCGCATTTGATTGAAAATCTGTAATTTAAATAGAAATTCTTCTTCTTCGATATCACTGTGCACAACACATAATTTCAATTAGTTTTTATTTTATTTTTTATTTTTTGGCGGTAAGATTCCGTATAATTAACCTCTACAATTTTATTCACATGTTCATGATCACCACTTAATTAATTAGTGGTTGGGTGTTGACCACTGAATGTTTTTTTTTTCAGTTCGAAGCTTGAATCTCACCGTGCTTCAGGTATTTTGCTTTAATTTTTTACTTCTCTTTTGTCTTCTTTTCTGTTTGATTTCTTTCCTTCGTTTTATCCTAAATTCTGAGTTTTCATTTTGTTTAAAGTAGTTTTCTCCTGGTCTATTGACATTTTTAATTTTTTATAGTTATTTCCTGTTCTCCACTATCATTTTTTTTTTGGTGTGCTAATTAATCAATTTTATTTGTAACATTGTGCATTTCATATGATATTTCTAAAATATTTTGAGATTTTACTACAAGTGTAAATGGTAAATATGAAGTTGCTATTGTTACTTTTTGTATCTTTTGCACATTGTTTTTTTTTGTTTATTGTCATATATGTGAAGAAGAAAGACAATAAGAAATGTGTTGTTGGTTGGGAAATAGGAGGAAAAGAAGCAAATCAAAAAGGTTATATGGAGACTTGCTGATAATAATTTTGGAATGTTAGTAGACTCAAGATTGCAAGTTGGCAACCGATGGTGCTAAATGATTTGTTAGATTATTCAATAGTAATTTTTTATTTTTCCTTATCAGTTATTGTTTCAAAGGGTGAAAAAGAGTGGGGGACACAAGAAGAGGGGAGAAAGAGGACAAAAGAATGGTTTGTTCTACTTTCAATGCTTTGGGTTAAAAAAAGAAAAAAGGTTCACTTCACTCACTTTGATTGAACTTTTCATTTCTTAAGTTTCTCTTGCTATATATATAGTGTATATTTCTTATTTATGTGTTTTTGATTATGAGATTGTCTCTTTTGCAGAGCATGTGGTGTGGAAACACACCAGCGAAGCCTCACTTTCGATGTCGAACTCAAGTGTGGCTCTAATCTAGCCCCCGAAATTCCAACCTAGCATGTAGCAATGCATTATGTTTTCCTGTGTGATCTTCATACAAAGGTACGAAGAACTAACTATGTTTAGTTTAATGGCTTTTTGGATGCTTAAAAATAAATTTTAGCCAAGTCCCCGCATGAGGTTGATGTTATAAATTTTTGGACTCCATTCTTAGAAAATTTTGGCATTTTCATCAAATGAGGTTCTTTCTGTTTTAGACTGTGGGTTAGAAGTATTAAGACACTGACGCTTGAGTGTTTGAAAATTAGGTGCAAGACATATGAGCTTCTAATCAAGAAAGACCTGCTTTTAAATCCCACTGTGTGTTCTAAGTGCTGGATGGGTTGTGCTTTTACCAACCCTAATAAAATTATATTTGAATCATGCTGTCTGATAACTCTTTTTCTTTTTTTCCTGTTTGTGGTTTTTAGTCTTTGTCATTTAATTGGTATAGCTTTGCTAGGATCTCTGTTCCGGCAGTGTGTGATTAGTGCTAATGGAATTTCAGCACTGTTTCTGAGCTATTGCTCGAATTGTTGTATCTAAGTATGCATTATACATTCAATTGAGCCAATGAAGCATGTGTGCCAACGAATTTTGAAGAGTTCGGCTTGGTTTTCTCTCTTTGGTCTTTAATATTTATGTGTGAGGCACCTGTTTGTTGACTAATTGAGTCCCTTCTCTTAAGTTTTTCAGTAGATATTGTGTAATTTGCTTTTATGAGCACTTCTTTAAGCTGTCAAGTTCCCAAAGTGTACAAGGAGATATCAAGTTTAACAAGTCACGAACTATGATCAATCCAAATACAGTGAAATTAGGGATTTTACACTTATAAACTTAGTTAGCTTTAGACCATAGGATTAGCATTTTGCGCATGTGAGTATCATTGACCTGCTCATTTTATTTTTCTGGATAAGAAACAAATTGTCATTGAAGGGAGAAGAAAGTGTACAAAAACAAAGTTTCTGTAAGCTTGCATTCATATGCCTAATATTTTAATTTCTTTTCTTGCCATTACCTGTTGAAATGGTTGCCTACACTGCAGGACACATATGATGTGTGAACTACGTGTTTCTTCTGTTTCTTAAGGAAACATAATTTTTTTGGAAACTATATCTTTCTAATCAAAGACGTTCAGTTTCTTCTCATTCATTGTACAATGTGTTTATATGCCAGCTCACTTGAATGTATATAAAAGCAAAACTGTTCGTCTTATCGACTTCATTCACTCATGTATCATTCTGTTTGTTCATAATTGTGTTGAATTTATTCAACTTAAATATGTTTTATTCATCCGATTACGCCTGAAACAGTTGGTTCCCGCAGCAACGCGCGGGCGTAATTTCTAGTTTAGTCTATTGCCGTTGGTTACATCAAAGAACAAGGTCCAGTGTAAGGGGTTTTTTCAACAATTGGTATCAAGAGCTAGGATCAAGGTGTTCTACGATGTTAAAAGGGAAGATGAATGCGGATCAAGGACCTGCGTTAAAACCCTTTGACGGCAAGGATGACTTCACGGACTGGCAAAGGATGATGAAGAACGTACTGATACAGCAGGATTTGGATGATGCACTTGATGGTAAGAAGCCGGAAAGCATGACAGAAGCAGCATGGAATAAGGTTCTCAAGAAGGCCAAGAGTTCCATTGAGATCCATCTCACAAGATCAGTTCGGTCACACATCACCGAAAAGATGTCTGCCCAGGAAGCATGGGAAAAATTGGAGAATGTTTATATGGGAAAAACCGTGTCCAATAAACTTTTTCTAAAGGATGAACTATTCGGGCTTCGACTAGAAGGAGGTGATATTGAAGATCACGTATGCAGGTTCCAGAATTGCATAGCTAATCTTCAGAAAGTCGAAGAAACTTACAAAGATGATGATATGGCTATCATCCTGCTAAGGTCTCTACCTTCGTCTTTCAAGCACTTTCGAACAACTCTAATGTTTGGAAAAGAGTCCTTGAAGCTTGAAGACGTAATTCAAGCTCTTCAGTTATATGCTAAACTAGATGATATAACTGAAAGCTCTCAAGGCCTTTATGCCAAAGGCAAGGAGAGGGGGCGGGAAAAGACAAGAGAAGAGAAAACTGGCAACAGAGGTAGGTCAAAATCCAAGAAGAAAAAGGAAAAGAAGGAAGGTTGCTTCGAATGTGGTTCAGCCGATCATTGGAAGAGGAACTGCAAGATTTGGAAAGAAAAGAAAGCCAAGATGGAAGGAAGCTCAGGTTCCGCTAGTGCAGTCACCGAACATGAGAGTGACGGGGAACTTCTTTCAGTAACATCGGGCTCCAAGGCTTTCAATTGGATTTTGGATATTGGATGCACGTTTCATATGTGTGCAGAAAAAGAATGGTTCGATACTTTCAAAGAAGTCAGCAGCAGGGAAGTCTTAATGGGGGATGATTCTTCATGTCCTGTAAGAGGAATCGGCACTGTTCAAATCAGAATGTTCGATGGGATGATACGAGCTTTAGGGAATGTCAGGTATGTCCCTAGACTAAGAAAGAATTTGATTTCCTTGGGCACTTTAGATGAGGCCGGTTATGGGTACAAGTCTAAAAAAGGAAGACTCAGGGTAACCAAAAGATCGCTAGTGGTAATGTGGGGTGACCTACAACCCAATAAGTTGTATAAGTTAATTGGGACCACTATAGTCGGGGGAGCAGCTGTTTCTGTAAATCAAAATATAGAAGACAAGACTGAACTATGGCATCATAGGCTCGGGCACATAAGCCAGAAGGGATTGCAAGAATTACACAAGCAAGGCCTGTTGGAAGGCGTGTCAACTTGCAAACTGGACTTTTGTGAATACTGTGTTCTTGGGAAGCAAAGAAAGGTATCATTCGCAAGTAGGCCGAAGTAAGGAGCAACTCAGCTATATTCACTCAGATGTTTGGGGTCCTCCTCCAACTAAATCAAATGGTGGAGCCAGGTATTTTGTTACTTTCATGGATGATTTTTCTAGGAAGGTTTGGATTTATTTCATGAAGCAGAAATCCGAGGTTTTTGCAAAGTTCAAGGAATGGAAAACAGAAACTGAGAATCAAACTGGAAGAAAGATCAAGTATCTGAGAAGTGACAATGGAGGTGAATATACAAGTAATGAGTTCACCGATTAGTGCAAGCAGGAAGGCATCATAAGGCACTTCACAGTAAAGAAGAATCCCCAACAAAATGGAGCTGCTGAGAGGATGAACCGAACTCTGATGGAGAGAGAAAGGAGCATGCGATTTCATGCAGGATTGCCTGATAGTTTTTGGGCAGAGGCTGTTAATCATGCAAGTTATTTGATTAACAGATCACCATCTACAGTTCTCGGTTTTAAGAGTGCAGAAGAGGTATGGTCTGAGAAGCCAGTGGATTATTCCAAGCTCAGGGTGTTCGGCTGTAGTGCTTATGCACATATTCCAAGTGATGAAAGGTCCAAGCTCAAACCGAAGTCTATACATTGCATATTCCTAGGTTTTGAGAAAGGAGTGAAGGGTTTCAAGCTTTGGGATTTCAACAACAGGAAAAAGGTTGTCAGTCGAGATGTTGTCTTTGATGAGACAACCATGCCTCTGAATAAAGTCGAGAGCAGTAGGGAGAAGAAGGATGATGCTGGAATTGAAGCAACAAAGATTCCGTTAATCAGTTCAGATGAAGAAGAAGCTCAGGTGGAGCAAATTGAGCAAGAGGTCGAATCTGATGGTTTTGAGGAAGAAGAAGAGCATCAGCATCATTCACCAGTTAGGAATCAGGTGGAGCAAGAAACAGGACAGATTGAAGGTACTCCAATCCGCCAGATATCCCAAAGGAGTCAAACTCCACCCAACAATCCACCTGCATTTCAAAGATGCATAGCACTGGACAACCTAAGCGGAACAAGAAGAAACTTGACAGGTTTGGGTTTGACCAAAACGAAGTTAATTATGCTCTTAACATTAGTCAAGGAGATCCGACTACTTATCGAGAAGCCATAGCAAGTGATGAGCGAGATAGTTGGATAAGTGCTATGACAAAGGAAATGGAGTCTCTTTACAAGAACTCTGTTTGGGAGTTGGTTCCTAAACCCAAAGACAGAAAGCTAGTTGGATGCAAGTGGGTATTTAGGAAAAAGGAAGGACTACATGAACAAGATGCCGTGATATTCAAAGCAAGACTCGTGGCTAAGGGGTACTCACAAAAGGAAGGGGTGGATTATGATGAGATCTTTTCACCTGTAGTCAAGCATACTTCTATCCGATTGCTTTTAGCAATGGCAGCTCAGCATGACATGGAGATTGAGCAGATGGATGTGAAGACAGCGTTTCTTCATGGGGATTTAGAGGAGACGATATTCATGGCTCAACCAGAAGGGTTTGTTGAATATGGGAAAGAAAACCTAGTATGTCAGCTAAGGAAGTCCCTGTATGGCCTGAAACAGTCTCCAAGACAGTGGTACAAGAGGTTTGATTCATTCATGCTGAAAATTAATTTTAGAAGGTGTTTGTATGACTGTTGTGTGTACTATCATGTGTTCCAAGATGGGATGATCATATTGCTATTGCTATATGTGGATGACATGTTAATTGCTTGTCAAGACAAGTCTAGAATTCAAGACTTGAAAAGGATGTTGAGCGAGGAGTTCGACATGAAGGATCTAGGTGCTGCACAGAAGATCCTTGGCATGGAAATTCAGAGAGATAGGACCGCTGGAAGGATTTGGATATCACAAGCCAAGTATATTCAGAAGGTTCTTGAGAAGTTCAACATGCAAGAAGCAAAGGTAGTTTCGACTCCTTTGGCAGCTCACTTCAGGTTAAGTGGACAACAGTGTCCTACGTCCGAGGAAGAGCAACAAGAAATGAAGAAGGTGCCTTATGCTAATGTCGTGGGCTGCCTCATGTATGCAATGGTATGCACACGTCCTGACATAGCTCAAGCAATCAGTGTCGTTTCCAGATACATGGCAAATCCAGGAAAGCAACATTGGGATGTAGTCAAGTGGATTTTGCGTTATTTGAGGGGTTCTTGGCGACAAAGGATTATGTTTGAGAAGAAAAAGGAAAATGCAGGGGTGTTAGGATATGTGGATGCCGATTATGCAGGGGACTTGGACAAGAGAAGGTCAATTTCTGGTTATGTGTTTACATGCGCAGGAGGACCAATCAGTTGGAGGGCACTACTGCAACCAATTACAGCTTTATCGACCACAGAGGCAGAGTATATTGCATTGGCCGAAGCTGGAAAGGAAGCAATTTGGCTTAGTGGCTTGGTAAGTCAAATGGGAATCACTCAAGATTGTGTGAAGCTTAAGTGTGATAGTCAAAGTGCCATTCACTTGGCAAAGAATCAGGTTTTTTCTGGAAGATCAAAGCACATTGAAGCAAGATATCACATAATCAGAGATTGGGTGGAGTCTAAGGAAATTTGGATTGAAAAGGTTCATACGGATGACAATGCCGCAGATTTCCTTACAAAGATAGTGCCGGCCAAGAAGTTCAAGCATTGTTTGAACTTGATCAATCTCGTTGATTGATTATAGTGGAGCACCTCCTCACCTGAGGTGCAATGAGGCAAGAAGGAGGTTGCCAAGGTGAAGACTCTTGAAGCTTTTCCAGAGCTACTTCAAGAAGGTTCAAAGATACTCTGGGGTGCAAACGATCAAGACTTGGTTTGACTCACCAAGGTGGAGATTGTTAGTTTTTGGCTCGTCAATTTGTGTCCTTTTCTGTTTAGGATTGTTTTAGGGAAAGGGTGCACCAATTCTTCTCCTAAAAGGGCTAGGAAAGAATCTTAGTTTCCTTATTCAATGTAGATTAGAAATCCTAGAAGTCTATTTGGAATTGGAAAGGAAGTCTAAATTCCTATTCCACTTAGAATAAAAATTATAATCTGTAAAGGACATGTAAGCCAACCCTATATCTATAAATAGGGTGCGGCAAGGCTGATTTTCAGCAGAGAGAAAACAGCCAAACAGCAGAGAGGTTTGAGATTAGTTCTAGGGTTTGCATAAGTTCTGTAATCTCTATTATTAATCAAAGAAGCGGTGATTTCTCTACCTAGGGAAATCACAACTGGACGTAGGCATAAGTTCTGCCAAACCAGTATAATTCTTGTGTGTTTCTAAGTTTTCTATATTTGCTAGTTTAGTCTATTGCCGTTGGTTACATCAAAGAACAAGGTCCAGTGTAAGGGGTTTTTTCAACGGGTTTTTCATCAAAGGTCAAAGCACATTGAAGCAAGGAATCATAGAATTAGAGATTGGGTGGAGTCTTTAGGAGATTTGGGTATAAAAGGTTCACACGAACGACGATGCCACAGATTTCCTTACGAAGATAATGTTGACCAAGAAGTTCAACCATTGCTTGAACTTGATCAATCTCGTTGATTGATTAAAGCAAAGCACCTCCTCACTTGAGGTGCAATGAGGGAAGGAGAAGATTGCCAAGGTGAAGATTCTTGAAGATTTCAAGAGTTGCTTCAAGAATTGTCAAAGATACTTTGGGAAGCAATGATCAAGACTTGGTGTGATTCACCAAGGTGGAGATTGTTTCATTTTGACTCGTCAATTAGTGTCCTTTTCTGTTTAGGATTGTTTTAGGAAATAAAGGGTGCACCGATTCTTCTCTTCAAAGGGTTAGGAAAGAATCTTAGTTTCCTTATTCAATTTAGATTAGAAATTCTAGAAGTCTATTTGGAATTGGAAAGGAAGTCTAATTTCCTATTCCACTTAAAATAGGAGTTATAATCTGTAAAGGACATGTAAACTGCAGCCTATGCCTATAAGTAGGGTGCGACAAGGGTTAAAACAGTGTGAGATAATATGCGACAGCCGAGAGAAGAGATGGAAATTAGTTCTAGGGTTTACAAAAGTACTGTATACTCTATTATTAATTGAAGAAGCCGTGATTTCTCTAACCAGGGAAATCACAACTGGAAGTAGGCAAAAGTGCTGCCGAACGAGTATAAGTCTTGTGTGTTTTCTAGTTTTCTCTATTTGGCTAAGTTTTAGTCTATTGCCGAATACATCACAGAGCAAGATCTAGAGAGAGTCAAAATTTTAACAAAAAATTCATAAGTGGATTCCCTTCAATATCACAAGATATAGTGCCTTCTTAGCTATATTGTATCCTTGTTGAGACCTAACTACGTTACTTAGTTTGTGATTATAAGTCAAAAATACAACATTAGTGCAGTAAATCAAATTATAGCTTGAATAATCATAGAGCACCTGATGACTTGGACTTGCGCCTTTATTATAAGAGTGTCAGCATCAATAAACCCATCTAATACTTCTGACAGCTCCATGAATTTTTTCCATCCCCAGTCATGCTCTTTCTTCCAAAAGCGATGTAATGTATCTACAAAAAATGCATGCTTACTCAAACGTGGTGATGGATATATTGAGAACCCACTGGAACAACAAAAAATTGATTAACCAACCAACCAGAATATTTCGATTTCTTAGGATCTTTATTTACCACAGCTATAGTAAAGTGAGCAAAATGGCTCCAACCTGTTAGACAGACAAATGAGAAATTCCACAATTATACCCCCAACAAAATCAATAATCAGAGATAATTCAACAAAGGAAACAATAACACACCTGAAAGAAGTTTGTCATGATTAGCTACACAAAGAAACAAAGAGAGATGATTGCAAACATCACAACCCTGGGGATAGATCAAGATGTACCTGCCATAACAAAAATTTCAAAACTCACTTATCTTATGATGACTGTTTGCCCAAGCCACATGCATCTATCAGCAAATATGTGCCAAGCTTAAACTATGTTGCATGGACATATACATAATTCTCATATTCCAGCAATTATGCAACCCTTCAGAAATGAATTTGGGCTACACTCCCTCGGTGGGTACAGAAGGAATCCAGAAGATGAACTCACTGGAACCCCCCAATATGTTTGTAACATATAACCACTCATGATTAGAACATCACATGGTACATCAAACACATTCATTATTGAGAACAAGGTAAAGGAAACGTAGTTGACCTCAGCTCCACTTTACTTAACTATTTATTGGTGGGTTGCATGTGTTGTCTGGAAAGAGGACCCAATGATTATTAATTCGCCAGAACCAGAAATTAATTTGATACAACTTGGATAAACAAGCAAACTAAAGTACTAGCATTTTTTGTGCTCAACATGCACAGAAAATAATAATATTCAGAATTCATACCACTTGTAGCCGCCAACCTCAAAAGCAATACTGCGAAGTTCCCTTTTGTTAATTTGAGAAAATTTCTCTATCTTCCACGTGAACTTTCCATATAATTCAGACGGCTTTGGCCCTATAAAGAAGTAAGAGGTTCGTGAACATTTAACCAACTCATCCAAATAAAATTTGAAAGCAGAAACACTCACTGATAAAATGGCATGGGAAATGCAGAGGTCTTATTTCTTACAATAGAATAAGGGAAGGCTAAATTTTCAATCCAAGGTGGAGTGAAAGGGTAGTTAGAAATGAAATATAACAAAGATGAATTAAACCCATATATAAAATAAGAAATTTGGGAGGAAATGACATATTATAAAACTGATTCCATGCAGAGATGAGCAATCAAGTATAATGCTGCCCTTGTCTCCCTTCACCGACGCATGCTATAATTAAGTGTGGGGAGGTTTAATAAAACTTTGAAAAACAGTCTACTATGTTATTTCACATGTTTCAAGTGAAAAATACATAAATGGAACAGGCTACTATGTTATTTCACATGTTTCAAGTGAAAAATACATAAATGGAACAGGTGTTTCATACAATAAAAATAATTTTTTTCAAATTTTGAATTTTTAAATATTTAGATATTCAAATGCACAATTGTCCAGCCTTTTTTGCCATACTAAGCAAAACAAACTGTAGTTACGTGGTAAGTAAAACAATAGACTAAGCAATCTCTCCCTAGGACAACCTAAATTCTCCAAATTGACCTACGTGATCAGGAGACACACTCATGAAAACATTTACAACATTTCAACACAAGATTAAAATACTTCAGAAAAGGAATGGACTCATCCAATGGTGCAACTTGTGAATACAAACTTAAATATGGCAAAGGCTAATGTATTTGAAAACAACAAAATCATCTGTACAGTAGCTATAAAACATTGGTAGCTATATTTCACATAAGGATCCAGGTGCATATCATCTTTTAGCTCCATTGATTCAAAATTTCCACAAGCCTGGTATTAGATTGGAAAAAACGAATACACATTCAAACACACTAGGCAATAAGCAATGTAGTGCACAAAAACCATACCACCATCATCGTCATCATCAGAGTCCCAATAAGGGGGTGAAGTAGATAGGGTTCCATTTTCCACCTGCTCAGAGGACTGCCATTCTGCTAAGGCTTCCCCAGAGAGACAACGCTGCCCACTTGAAATCCCCTCCGTAGACCTTCCTGCACCGGACTCTTCACTAGAAATCCCGGCCATTTCCCACTCCAAAACTCCTGTCCTCACACTCCAACCCTGCTCACATGATAAGAGAAAAACAATCAATAATAAAATCTATATACATTGGGAGTCCATTCCCTGAAAAGTAGCATGTGCACACTACAAGCCACACTTTCTTTTACCAATTACACCATAATTTTTAAAGAGCCCAGATATAAAACAACAACAGACATCTCAATGTTGAATTTCAGGGGAGAACCAAACTTAACAAATTGAATCACACTTTCTGTCCTGTCTGTTAACAAGTAAATGTAACGAGACGACCGTAAAATCCAAAAAAATAAATAAATAAATAAAATTCTACTTTTTTGGGACCTGACAAAACAAAAATCTCAGTTCAACCGATTAATTGGCTTAGATGATGACAGTTTTACAGCAATCAAGACTTAAGGCGACATAGAACGCAAAAAATATTAAACCTAGTAAAAAAATTTCATGAGTTTCTCTGCAACCAAACAGCTTATCAATTACCATTCCCTAAACCAAAAACCCACATCCGAAAATCCAAAAACCAATAAACCCTGAAATCAAACTCCAAATACTCGAAGAAACCAAACTGATTTGAAACCAAACAGATTGAAAGTACGAAATTGCTAATCAAAAACCCTAAAAAGTCAGGACCATTTTGATGAACCCAATTGCGGAAAACGCAATCCAAATAAAAACCCACAAAAATCCGAACCAATCGAACTAAGATCGAGGATAATCAATCCCTTTTAACCGCGATCAAAAACAAACCATATAGAACCACAGAGGAACGAAATTAAAAAACAAATTACAGAAGGAACAGAAAAGGGAATCTCGGAAACGACATCCAATAGATCGAATAGTGATACGAACCTGCAACGAAGACCAGAGCTTATTCACAATGGCCAACGGAAGCTCTGAGATTCTAGAGAGAGGAAGAAAGAAAAAGAAAGGCGCCGGCGGGGGGGGGGCGGCGGCGGTGGTGGGGGTAGGGTTTTGGGTGGGGTGGGGTCGAAGGAGCAGCGGGGAGAGAGATAGAATTGAGCAAAGGCGGAACCGAAAAAGGAAAATCTTTTTTTTTTAATTTAGGGGTGTATTGAGATTTTAATTCTTTTAACGAATATAGAGGTATTTAATTAAGATTTTAAGATAGTTTATTAAAATTTTTAGAAATTCGGGTATATTTAATTAGAATTTTAAAGAAATTTATAACATTTCAGGTGTATTCAATTAGAATTTGAATTTAAATAATTGGTGTATTCAATTAGAATTTGAATTTAAATAATTTGGAAAAGTTGAAGAATTATAGGGAATTGAAGATATTTTGTTGTGTATTTTAAGCATCCACGAATTTTACATCCCTATTATATTTCAAGAGAATTGAATCAAAATTTTAGACGAAATGTCTACCAATCAGTTAAACTAGGGGTGGGCACGGGCAAGGGCAGGCCAAAATTGGAGGGACCGAACCGGACCAGCTTGAAAATACAACGGGGCGGGCCGGGCCAATTCCTACGGGTCTAACGGGTATTTTTTTTTTTTTTCCGAAACGATAACCTTCCTCGACGTCTCCGCCTCCCTCCGCCAAGGCCACTCCTCCGTCTCTTGCTTAAATCCCACTCAATGCTAGTGCAGATGCAGGATGTAGCTAAAGATATTGTTAATACCATCTCCTCATTTCTACTGGTCAATCTTGATATCGTGTTGCACTTGAATTCGATGACTAACCAGATCATCAATAATCTGGAATCAATGGAGTTCAAGTTAGCAGCTGCAATAGAATCAATTGCTTCGGAGATGGAGAATTCAATTTCACAAAATGCTACGAATAGGGATAATGCTCAACAGAGTCAGTGACTATATAGACCAGGCCCTCTTTACCTCTCATGGTGTCCATGCCAAACCCAATGCCGCAATCGGCGAGCTTTTGGCAGTTCTTGCTCCAGTCCTCGTAGAGCCAGATCGTCGATTTGGTTGCCGATGCATGATTTGTGCAAACCCAGCTGGGATTAAGAACTTGAAAAAAGAAAAAGAAGGTTCAAGGAGAAAGAGAGAGAGAGAGAGAGAGAGAGAGAGAGAGAGAGAGACATCAAGAGGGATGACAATCGACAGATGTGAAAGCAAAATCAAAAACCCACAAGGAAGAGAGATCGAGGGAGGAGTCGGAGTGGTGTCGGAAACTTAGAATCGGGATAGAGAAAGAGAGTGAGGGGAGAGTTGTAAATTGGGTTTGAGAATAAGAGAGAAGGTGATATCGTGATAGAGGATAGAGCAATGAACGGTCCAGGTCGGGGGCCCGTTTTCTCCAACTTTTAAAATCGGCCCGCCCGTTATTTACCAGGAACCGGCCCGGCCCGGCTTGTTTAGTATATATAATTTTTGGACCCGTCTCGTACTCGCCTCGACCTGTGGTTCCAAGACCCATTTGCCCACCCCTAAGTTAAACTCCATAAAAATTCATGGATTTATAAATCCATTAAAATCTCTCAAATTCCTAATTGAATACACCCCTTTAATTTTTTTTTCGATTTTTCCATTTTACTGAATTTTGTTGATTTTTTTTAATCAAACGATAGATTTTGTTAAATTAAATATTAGATTAGCTTCTGACGAGGTTCGAACCCACACCATCATACAATAACTTAACAGTTTTTCCACTACTATGGTAAATGACCATTTTCTATGTTTCTTTTTTGGAGATGTTGACTTTGCCTTCTATTCTATGTCTTTGTTAATGCAAATAGAATTAATTTTAATTATTATAAGCACTTTTGAGAATTAAAAGAATTTATAATTGAGAAAAACAAAATTGATGAGGGTAAAATTAAAATGAAAGGGGATGCAGGGTTACATAGGGTAGTGACAAATGTGGGGAACAAGTTTTTGTATCCAAAGCTTTGATGGGTTTGTGCTATAAGATAGTGTTTGGTACAAAGAAAAGACGGAACAAAACGGGACAAAATGGAACGGAACGAAACGAAGGTTCCATGCTATGTTTGGTACGCATATGATGGAATAAAACAGTTGTTCTGTTCCACATTTGGTACGTGTAAGGCGGAATGAAACAAAAGATTAAATGACAAACGTACCCATGGTTATCCATTGACTCCATCGACTCAACCCTATAGATTTTCTGCAGCCGTCATGGGTATGGGAATGAAGGTTAAGCAACATGCGGGACCATCATCGTTGGAGCTCTGTACCTCATCACCTGGCGCGCCACCAGACCTTCCCTAGGATCTCCGGGTGCGAGTCGAGCAGCGTCACCGTCCACAACAACTACGATGTCGAAATGTCCTGAGCCGCGAAGAGGAAGTCAATAAGGTAGATGATCTGGAGATTAAGGAGAGGGAAATGAGGTGGTGGAGGATTTTGTAATTATTAAGGCTACGGGAGAGAAAGGATAGAAGCTCTTATTTGTGACAAAGTCGGAGAAGCAACAAGGCATCGTCAAGCAACAGCGTCGCCCACGTCTTACCAGTAGATGACCTTGAGGGTTGGCGCGGTGGAATACGATGGTTTCGTTGTCGGACCAGTAGCGAGGATGGAGGAGGCAGGAAGAATACAGGGTTTGGTTCGAGTGGGTTTGTTGGGATTGGGTTAACATTGGGGCCGATTAGAGAGGGAGGATGAAATCGTCGTACAAGGAAGACGGTGGAGAAGCCATGGTTAGGTTGCTGGATTTGTGGTGGAGGAGGAGAAGAGAGGGAGGTTACAAGAGATATGAAGGGTAGACAATGGAATTAATGAAATAGTTAAGGGGTATTGTTGTCCAAAAATTTATAATTTTGTGTTCCATGGGGTAAGGGTGGAACCAAAATTTAGCTAAAATTTGTTCCACGGGAAGTGTGTCCCACTCTTTTTAACCACCAAACGTGGGACGAGTGTGTTCCGTCCCATCCCACATACCAAACGGTACCTAAGAAGACAAGCCAAACATTCATGTCCCTCAATTCTGAGTTAATGAGGACTAAGTCCAAAGTATCCTGAAGGAAAAACAAGTCTTATAAAATGATTTTTTGTTCTTCCAACAACTTCTAGGTGCTCAGTCTGGTGTTACATTGAATGTTTCTGTCATTGATGAATTGTTTATGGGGGCTTTAAGGAGCTTCCCATGGCTATTAAGGTTCTTCTTGCGACTTTCAAAATGATTTGTTAAACTAATAAACACTGGAACGACTGAGTAATTACAATGTGTGGTATGAAGCTAAAAACCCACTAGTTTGGCATAAAAGAGTGCAATTATTCTTGGTTGCATAGTTTTGAAGTGGCTAACCTAGGGTTTCTAATGTTTTGGTAGTTTTGAAGGGGTAAGGAAGCTTATCAGAAAGATCAGAGTGAATGAACTGTTTAAAGCTCGTGAATTGTGGTTTCCAGCACTTATAAATAACTTGCTTTGATTATTGCATCTTTCTTTCAAACGTATTAAGGCTTTTGATTTATAGTTGTAGGGATCTCTCTAAGTTTTAGATGGGGAATCCCGTGGTTTCCTCTCTTCTTCCTGTTTTACTAAGTCGTCTCTTCTTCTTTTCATGGTTCCAGGTACATTATTCCTTTTTGTTATAACGCTACAGAAGGTGGGTAGCCCAGTGAAGCCCAAGGTTAAACACGATGCCCATGGCTCCTTCTTCCGGCACCAAGTCGTACAATACGACTCTATCTTTGGCAATGCTCTACTCTGCTTTCTCCCTCATGTAAGAGCTTAAAAGGGAAAGACGTTTTTTTTGGCCGATTAAAGTGGCGCACGGCTCTAGGTCTAGACGTGATTCGGTTTTGATTTGGTCAGCTAGCTTTGGGTTTTGGTTGTTTCCTATGTGTCTTATTTGGTTTGTAACAGAAAGAATAAATTGTTCTCTCTCAATGTCGTCCTACGTGCAATTAAAACTATAGGCTTAGATTTTGGTGCTCCCAAGTAACCCAAAATCTTCTGCAACCCTAAATCCATGTAGGCCAATGAACTTCCTTAATCATTCACACAATGTCCCATTCGACAAAACCCGTTACGTGGCTTGGACTCATTTAAGCATATCAGGTGCTTGGCGTGACTCAGATTAAATGTTGATGTATGAATACTATACTACAGCTTGGCACGATATATATGCGTAAGTTGCACGAGTTTGGTGTGATTTTACAAACGTTCAATTTATAAAATATTATTTTATTAGCATGGCATGATTGTAAATCTGCATACCCAACATTTCACACTTTATGCATGAATTTAAGTTTGGTTTGTGACGTATATGCAACAATTATGCTTTGGGCTTGTTGGTGAAATTTCTAGACTCTAACATTAGCCTTCTTGATTATCTGGGCCATGCAAGAACGAAATGATTTGAATAATCAATTGAGCCCAAAACACCAAAAGTATGTGCATGGACTCAGCTTTTTTATCGCCACTAGCTTTGTAGTTGTAGCTTTTCATCACTTAATTTAGTTATTGTTTGCTTAACTGTCTCGCTCAGACATAATTTCTTATTCACGTGCATTTTCTTCAAATGATTTATGACATGTATTTTGACTTGCATAAAATGAGTTGAACTCTCACACTATAACAATTTCATTTCTTCTATGTTTGGTCATCATAAAATCCTTGGCATTACAAGATCAGGTTCTAGTACTCTTGCGATATATATATGTCTCAAATGTCATTGCTATCTCAGGACGATCCTTTTATTATTTCTAGTACAACCAACTATTATCAAGAGCTCTCAGGTTACTGTGGTTGTGCCTTGCATATGTCTAGTGATTGTAATCAGTGTGATTGGATCATAGATGCAAGTGCTACGGACTATATGACTTATGACAACAACAATCTTGTTTGTGACACCATCTTATTAAGATATAATAGTATCACTAGTAACAATGGTGTACCCTCTATTACTGGCACTCACATTGTGCCTCTTACTTCTACTCTCTCATTACCCAATATGTTTACTTGTTCCATCATTAAAACATAAATTGATGTCTCGCAGTCAAGTTACTAAACAATTGAATTGTTGTGTACTAATGTATCCTAAGTTTTGTCTTATCCA